GCACCTTACTTACTCCTTTGAGCCATGGGCACCACCCAAAAGGAACTTTTTTTTTCCTGTTGAGCGCCTTGATGAATTTGTCTATGCAAAGAAAAACCTAGTGCTGAATTTGGGAATAGGAACCAAAGAAAGGGAGAATTTGAAGTGTTCTGACAGTCTAAGAGAAAAGAAGGCAGAAGTGTGTGAGGTGAAAGAGAAGGAGAAAAGCCATGGGAGTGAACTAACTAATGACAAAAAGTCCATGATGGTAGGGGCCCAGAAAAATTTTAATAGCCAGAGCTCTATAATACTCACTTAAAGTCGTTTTTGTTGCTTTTTTTTTTTTTTTTGAGACAGCCTCAAGCTATCCCCCTGGGTAGAGTGCTGTGACATCACAACTCACAGCAACCTCCAACTCCTGGGCTGAAGCGAGTCTCCTGCCTCAGCCTCCCAAGTAGCTGGGACCACAGACGCCTGCTACAACGCCCGGCTATCTTTTTTTTGGTTGCGGCCATCATTGTTGTATTGGCAGGCCTGAGCTGGATTCGAACCCGCCACCTTAGGTATATGTGGCTGGCACCTTAGCCACTTGAGCCAAGCCATTTTTGTTGCTTTTATGTAACTGCCACAATTCCCCCTAGTAAGTGAAATTCTCTCACATCCCTAAAACTTCAGTCAAGTTTGCTGAAACGCATGTTATTTGCATGAGATTTTGTGAGAACTAAGAAAAAGCCCCACATGTGTGTCAACAGGTACAAAAGAGAAACTAGGCACACCATGAAAAGATGATTTCAAAACTAAGCTAAAGTGGTAAAAGAAAAAACAGGAATATTTCCAGGTAATTTACACAAATCTTAGGGCAAGCTTTGGACTTTTCAATATTCATGGCATGAGAGTTCTTAAGGAACAGGAGCAGGGTTACCTAGATGAAACCGTGCTCATTGAATTGTAGGTTCTGGCTATTTATTTATTTAGATATGGAATGCTTCACGAATTTGCATATCATCCTTGCTCAGGGGCCATGCTAATCATCTCTGTATTATTCCAATTTTGGTATATGTGCTGCTGAAACAAGCACTATTTATTTTTATTTATTATTCTTTCTTTCTTTCTTTCTTTCTTTCTTTCTTTCTTTCTTTTTTTTTTTTGGCAAAGTCTCCTTCTTGTTGCCTAGGCTAGAGTGCCATGACATCAGCCTAGCTTACAGTAACCTCAGACTCCTAGATTCAAGGCATCCTCCTGCCTCCCTTCAAGTAGCTGGGACTACATGTGCCTGGCTAGTTTTTCTAATCTTAGTAGAGACCTGGTCTTGCTCTTGCTCAGGCTGGTCTCATACTCCTGAGCTCCATGGATCCTCCCCCCTTGGCCTCCTAGAATGCTAGAATTATAAGGGTGAACCATCTCAGCTGACCAACAAAGACTCTTTTTCAAACATATCTTGTAACAAATTAGGCAGCAGTATCTACAGTACCTATAAGCTCAGTATTTAGAAGTCTTGGCCTTTATTTGATCATAACTTCAAGTCATATACCATCCAGAGTAAGTAGTAGTCCCAAACTGACTGATTCATCCTCCATTCATTTAACAGGTACTTACTGAACATGTCTTCTATGGCAAGCATTGCTAAAGATGTAAAATTCCTGCTCCACACAGGGCTGACCTACATTCTAGTGAGGGAGACATAATAAACAATACAGTAGGCTCGGCGCCTGTGGCTCAAGCGGCTAAGGCACCAGCCACATAGACCTAAGGTGGCGGGTTCGAATCCCCAGCCTGGGCCCGCCAAACAACAATGATGGCTGCAACCAAAAAATGGCCAGGCGTTGTGGCGGGCGCCTGTGGTCCCAGCTACTTGGGAGGCTGAGGCAGGAGACTCGCTTGAGCCCAGGAGTTGGAGGTTGCTACGAGCTGTGATGCCATGGCACTCTACCCAGGGGGATAGCTTGAGGCTCCGTCTCAAAATAAATAAATAAATAAACAAACAATACAGTACATATAAACTATATCAACTGTTGTTAAGTGCTAAGAAGTCATAAAATGGGAAAGGGTTAGCAAGGACAATGTTATTTTTAATGGGATTGTCAAGGAAGGAGTCCCTGAGAAAGTTACGTTTCTAATAGAGCCTTTGGTGAAGAAAGTGAACAAGCCACATATACATTGGGAGAAGAGCATCCAGGTAGTGGAAGCAGCATAGGTGAAGGCTGTGAGGCGGGAAAAGGTGGGTGTGCTAGAGGAACAGCAGTGAGACCATATGGCTGGCGCAGACTGAGTGTGATCATGATGGCAGCTGATCTCAAAGGGAATGGTGCATAGATTACACAGGGTCTTGTAGGTCACTAAAACATGTTTATCAACAGTAATACAAGAAGTGAATCACATGTTAATATTTATGAAAAAATTTAGCTTTCAGGCTGGGCACAGTGGCCTCTTTACTGGACTTTTATAGGTCCTGTCTTCACAGAGACAAATATCCCTCACTTCACAATCACGCCTTATTCAAAGGCTCTTTTTCAAACATATCCTCACTTTTTGGCAGCACCTACATGTGCGAGCAACTATTTTCAAGAATGAAGCACACTGAGAGTTAAATTAGAACCAAAATATCTGATGAGCAAGCATCTTGAGAACTCACTGAGGATTGCAACCACTTCCATCGAACCAGATAATAATGGATTAGTTTCTCAAATACAATATCAAATATCCCACTAGTTTTATGTTGCCCATTTTTCTTTTATAATAAAAAATATCAAAAAACCCAAGACATTTTATTATATAGATATGTACATTTTCTGTATTAATGATCACAAACTTGGCTTGGCGCCTATAGCTCAACCAGCTAAGGCGCCAGCCACGTACACCTAAGGTGGCGGGTTCAAATCCCCAGCCC